TGGGTGAGGGTCGGAGGCGGCGGTTGCCGGAGCGGGCTCCGCGTCCCCCGAGAGAACCAGCGGGAAAGGAGTGAGGCCTGAACATGGCAGCGAATAGGAACTTGAAGCAAGTGCGGATCGAGAACAGCTCCCCAGCGGCACCGCTGGGCATGGTCGGGGGTGGCGGCGGCAACTTGAAGGGATTGCGGGGCCTAGAAACGGAGACTGAGGCAGCGGCGGCCATGGCGCTAGCGCCGACCAAAGAAGGTGGAGATGAAGAGCAGGAGGCTGGGTTCACCATCGACATCAAAAGCTTTCTCAAACCTGGCGAGAAGAGCTACACGCAGCGCTGCCGGCTGTTCGTGGGGAATCTGCCTACTGATATCACCGAGGAAGATTTCAAGCGCCTCTTCGAGCGCTATGGGGAGCCTAGCGAGGTCTTCATCAATCGGGACCGTGGCTTTGGCTTCATTCGCCTGGTGAGGATTCGCGCGACCCTCTGCGGCTGCCCCATAACCCAGAGGCTGCCTTTGCAGGCGGGACACCCCCGTCCCTTCTCCCTCCCCCGCCTTTCCTTCTCGGGCGGCTGTAAAAAAAGACAGTAGCTGCCCCTCGTTCTCTCTTTCTCCTTGCTGCTAGCGCTGTTCCCTCAGCTTCCTCTTCCTTCTCCCCCCTCCCCTATTTGCCTCCATACATCCAAGCCAGAGGCCTGCATTGTGAGCAGCCTTTCCCAGCCCCGCGCGTTTGGGTTCCTGCCTCGCTCCGCGGTACTCCGCTGGTTTTAGGGCCCCTCCACCATTCACCATTTACGTGCTGCTACCACGGGTACTCTTGCAGTCTGTTATTCTTCAGTGAAGGGAAAATGTTGCGCGATCTACTTTGTTCGTGTAACACCTGTTTAAAGGCTTTCCTTATTGAACTGGGAGAATTTATCGTACTTTTTTAGGACTTAAAAAAAAAAAAAATTATTCCTTGTACAGAAGCAAATTGCAGCCTGTACAGTTCACTATGAGTATAGGTTTGGTCTATGAAAACATAGTTCATTTGAAAAGCTGGACAGGATTGTTTCGATATACCGCTGTTCACACATCCTGAAAACGGAACGTATAATCTCAGAATTGCAAAGAAATGGGACCTTAGGTTGTTTAAATTGCTCGTGTCCAGATAAGACTAGATTTTTAGGGTAATACAGTATTTGATTGAATATGCTTAAGTGAGCATACAAAAAGGAATAATCTGAAAATCTTATGGTACTGTATTTAAATGTCAGTTTAATGTGCAGGATTAGTTTTTATGACTGCCATGCCTAGAATGCACTGATTTATATCACTCTGAAAATAGCTTTAGGGTGCTTTGGGTGTCTCCAGTTACGATTTTTCCATGTATTTTACCGGTTGGGATTTTTTTCTTGTTGGTTGTCACCTTAAAGATAAGTGCTTGTGGCATTCTGCCATACATTTTTTACCCTGAGAATCCCCCAGCCTGAAATAGCAATTTTCTGGAGGAAGTGCAATATATTTACATGTCATTACTCAATTTTGTATGTGATGTAGATTAGATACGGCTTTTAGCTGAACTTCCCTTTTCTGTTATGTTTAGGGAATATGCTATTTTTTAACGATTTACCTAGTCAGTTGAACTGTGGAGAAGATGGATATGATCTAAAGAATAATCTCCTTAAATGTAAGGGATTGGAGGTATCAAACTTGGTGAAAATCTCTGAAATGAGAAAAAAAGGCAGTAATGATGCAGACTGTCTCATGGATGTGGGTGCAGAAAGCCCATAAATGTGAGAAGAATGAATACATGAGCAAAGAAGGTAATTTCATCATTTGCTGATGAAATTCGGATTGGACATCCGTTAAGCGTTCATTCAGCAGTGGCAATGAACAAATGCGATGTTTTCACTTATTTAAAAATGAAACAAAAACTCAGAACACATTAGATCCTGTAGTATAGTCTTTGAAAATACTGTTTCTTGCTATATGGAGCCAGGGATGCAGAATATAAACATTTGAGTAGGTAAATGTGAAAAAGCATCAAGTTTTCAACTCTGCTAAAAGCCTTTACAGAGCAGCACAAACGTATCCATCATAATGAGAATTTGTTCTTTAAAAGCGCAACAAATTTTTTCAAAAAAATTTTTTAGAATAAATCATAGAGGATGAGAAATGCTTTCCCCCCCCCTCCAATCAGTGGAAAAGAACTTTGGGGTTTTTTGGGGGGGAGAAAAGAAGAGTTGAATGACCCTGATGCTAATGTGCTCAAGGAAAAAAAAATTGCCACTTTTTGGGGTGGGTGGGACACCACAAAAATTATATCTATTGTATTTGAAAATAAAATACATAAAATATTTTATATCTTGAAAAAGGAATCTAGGACACTGGCTGAAATAGCAAAGGCAGAACTTGACGGTACTATTTTGAAGAGCAGACCACTTCGGATTCGATTTGCTACACATGGAGCTGCCCTAACGGTCAAGAATCTTTCGCCTGTGGTTTCTAATGAGCTGCTGGAACAAGCATTCTCTCAATTTGGGCCAGTGGAAAGAGCTGTTGTTGTAGTAGATGATCGTGGCAGAGCTACAGGAAAAGGTTTCGTAGAGTTTGCAGCAAAACCTCCAGCACGGAAAGCTCTAGAAAGATGCAGTGATGGGGCATTCTTGCTAACAACGTAAGTTCACAGGCTTTTGTTTGAATTTGTGTGAGTATATATTTCTGATGTGAAGGAAAACTGCATTCATAAGTGTTCCCTAGTTCTTATTTTATTTTCAAATTGTGAAAGCCATAAAGTGAGAAATTAATGTATTTTACATAAATACCCCAAATACTCCTGGTCTTTTTTTGTGAGGAAAACCATCTTTTTCTGCTCACTGTTTATAAGACTTGTAATTACCATATGAGAGTCTGATAGCAACGTTTTTCTTTTCCTTGTCTATATGCAATATTACTTTTCTTTCTCTGTATATTAGGTTTTTTTCCAGTGACACTTTATTTTCATTGATTGCACTTCCTGATCCCAGTAACAATGTGACAAAATAATATTCCTCTGTTTCTTAGCAAAACAGTGCACTAGATTGCTCGTATTTCTGTAAACTCAGGGAAGTCTTCCTGCATTTATTTCTATCTCAAATGTTTTATTTGTGCCTTGAAAGGTCACAAGTTTCTTTGGTTTTGATTTTGGTTGGGGTTTTTTTTGGTGTGTTTTTTTTTTTTTTCTTAAATTAAGACTTAAATTCTGCAGAAGTTTATGGCAACGATCTCTGGAAAACTTTCTATTTCAAGGGCAAGCAAGTTGCAAATTACAGCACTTCTATCTTGCATCTTTTATTTCTGTACTTGCTGAAGGCAGTTGTTAACTGCTGTGCTTTAACACGTTCACTAGTGACATTTTCAACAGCTTTCTTAAAGACTGTGTGAAACGATAGATATTCAGGAATTTTTTTTATTTTTCTGATTTTCATTTGGCAATATAAGGCTGTGGTTCCACAGCATGGAAGCCTGCTGCCATCAAATTGGGGAAATTTTACTGCTTCTTTTCTTCCTGCCGTGGCTGTGCTGTTGATCTTTTATCAGCTTGAGAACTTTCTGATAATTCCGTAAGCCACTTGTGCTTGCTGAAACAACAGAAAAGTATTCGTCTGCTTTTGTTGGGTTAATTTTTGGCTGTTTAAGCATGTGAAGCTGCTTGCTAACATGCGTGCTATGAACATCAGGTCTAGCAGAGGATAAGATAGGAGAAAATGTTTCCTGAAGGAGATTGCAGGTGGGGAAAGGGTCTGGAACTCCTCTTTCTCATGATAATCTAATAAATCTTGTGTGCCACTGTGGTGACCTGGTGGCTACATACTAAATTCAATCTGAATAAATCTTTACTGTTATCAGTAGGTGTCAGCAATTTGTTCTTATCCCCTGGGTTTTCTTGGCATTGGTATTTGAATGGAAGCACGGTGAGCCAAAGCAGGGAACTAATCTAGTTCAGTGTTACATGAATGCTATTCTTGGCATAAGCGATGTGGCAGGGAAAAAGAAACTATGATAAGAGGGAGGGAGGGTATTACTGTTTTACCAGCTGATGGACTTGTTGGATTGAAATGACTGTCTAACCATGGCCTGAGTGAATAAAACTTTATCTTGCTTAGGTGGCTGACATGTTCCCTAATGTGCGGTTACAAATATAATTAGCATGAATCTGCTGGCATGATACTTTGATGTTTTTCTTCAGAATCTAAAATTTTACATTTCTAGCTGAAAACTGTTTGTCTGCTCAGAAAATTTTTCAATTCATTGGCTAAATAATATCAAAACTAGGCCCTTGAAATGTAAATTTAGAGGTTTAAAATTGTTGTTTTAAATCATAACTTGTTAACACCACAGTTCAGTTGCATTTAAATAACAGAAATGCCAACAATTGCCATGCAGACAACATCAGCCCTGAAGTTTTCTTTTCAGCCGTTGATGTTAAAATATACTGATTTTTTTTTTTTTTTTCTGTGAAAAGATCTGCAAAGTGAAATGAAGGTGTGGAACACAATGAATTCTTGAATTAATTGAAAATAGTGTCTCTAGCTCTTTTATTATTGCTTTAAGGTCTGTTTTATAGGCTATACTCCCAAGACTGATGCAGAGACCTTTTTACACAATTCAAGATCCTTATACTGCTGTCCTTGGCAGTACTGGCTAATACTTGCCTCTAATTACTACAGATAATGAGAATTCGAGGAAGGTATTTTCAAAGATAAATTAGGATTCTGATTTGTGGTTGTTCAAAGAATGGGTTTTAAATAACTTAAGCAGAAATGTTTTTCTAATTATCATTGGAATATTAATGCCAAATCATCAAGCTGTTTTCAGTTGTAGAGTAACTTTCAAAAGTAATTTTAATATTCTGCTGAAATATTAATAGGTTGTGTTGCTTTGTTTTGGGTTTGTTTGGTGCTTTCCCAGTATAATCATGGCTCTCATGTTGCCTCACTGATGAAAACAAAAAGGTTGTTCTTCCTAAATACATTTTAATTGTTTGTACATGGTTTTGAGATTTTTTTAAAAAAAAATCTTTAAATACTTACTAGCATACAGAACTACATGAAGTAAATTGTGGTTTCTAGGTGGAATAGCTGGGTTTGGGTGTAGAAACAATTATTTTCAAAGGTAATTCTTAAAATCAGGATTCATTGCAATTCTATGATTTAAGAGGAATTTGCAAGCCACAGGATTTACAGGTAACATACGTTAGCTTTCTCGAGTGTTTCCTCAACATACTAAAATAACTTTTAACTGCTTCATTTATGATTCAGTTATTCAATTGAAACTGTCTTCCAGAACACCTCGACCTGTTGTTGTAGAACCAATGGAGCAATTTGATGATGAAGATGGGCTCCCAGAGAAGTTAATGCAAAAAACACAACAATATCACAAGTAAGTTGTGTTTAGCATGATTTATGTTACTTAGCTTGGTAAACATACGCTAATTTTTATTTTTGAGTTTGTGTAACAGGAAGCAGTGTTTTGCATATTGTGCTGTTTTGTGTCAAAGGATTAAATAGGATCTTGCCAAGATTTCCTAATCATAGTAAAATCAGACTTGTTGGTTTAACATTCTGTGTGTTTACTACAGTAGATTCCTGGCCTACATTTAAATCGGTTGGAGCTTGTTGCCAGCCATGCTATAGTCTTTTATGGATTAGGGGTGTGGTCTAATCCTGCAGAGATTTGTATACCCACAGATTTTTTGTTCTTTGAACAACCCCCTTAACTGTTTGTAAAGTCAGTGGGGTGTAAATCCTTGCAGCTTCCACAGTTCAGATATGTGACATGAGAAAGTGTGTCTTGATCACGAGGTGGAAGAGAAGTCTCACCTAATCTGATAGTACTAATTTTTAATATTGGAATTTGATTGCGGTCTAGAGATCATCTTGTTTGAAGCTAAAATGCTTATTCTGGTGAGGCTGTAGAAAACTGCTTTTTAAAAATGTGTCACTATTAGCTACAATATTAGTGTAAGAATGTGAAATAACATGTTGGCACCTTTTAATGTTTAGAGATTCTGGCTAATATCCTGAGCTGTCTAGTAAGCTTTGATGTTTATTTAAATAACTGGTTTTATGAATTGACTGCTTGCTTTAGAAAGCTGAACACAGTTAACCTAGTGTTGCAGCTTAGTATTTTGTACTGATGCAAATATGAATTTTAATCTTAAAATCATATAAATTGAGCAGATTCTCTTTGGACAATTTTTCTGATCATATTACTTGTCTTAACAGCTGAATTAAGCTTTGGCGGGTTTAGAATGTAGTCATCTGACCAGTTGATTTAAAGGCTGATCTACACTTGAAGTAATTGTTTATGAATTCCTTGGCTGTTGCAGCTGTTGATCTAAATGTGTCCTTCTGTACATTTTAACTGAAAAATTTTTATTAGGGCAAGAGAACAGCCTCCACGTTTTGCTCAGCCTGGAACATTTGAGTTTGAGTATGCTTCACGGTGGAAGGCCCTTGATGAGATGGAAAAGCAACAGCGTGAGCAGGTTGACAGGAACATTAGAGAAGCCAAAGAAAAACTAGAGGCAGAAATGGAAGCAGCTAGACATGAGCATCAGCTAATGCTGATGAGGCAAGGTAAAATTGGATAATCTACTAGTATTAAATTTGTTTTGTCACAGATTTTCTTTGTGTGGCACATTGAGCTGTATGTTAAACTTAAGAGATTTTGCCAGACACTATTTAATTAAATGCATTGAACTGAGGAAAAGGAAGTAATATTTCTCCTTACACGTATTCCTTGGTGATTTGCAGAGATGGATTAAGAAACTGAGAAAGGGGTGATTGTCTAGGTCTGTTTTATTCACTTTTAAAATTTGTCTCATGTAAGTAGTTTATGTAAAGAAATTGAATGGTAGCTTCACACTCATCACTGAAATTAATTTCCATTTTTGCTGTTGCTTATGGTATTAGATAGGACTAAGTACGCTTGTGGGTCATGTGCAGGAAAAATAAAAAATGATAGCTCATACTACTTTTGGCTGTTCTGTGCACCTCTGCTATGAGTTTAAGTGTTACAGTAGCTAATATTACTTCTTTTTCCTTTGAAACCCAGCTGAGAAGTCTGATGTATGCATAGTATTGTATGTATGTAACAACTCAAAATAACTCACAGTTGCTATGAATTTCAGTCATTCTTGAGATTTTAAGGTCATGTATCCCTCTTTCGTACTTGTTCAGACATCTTGTCTTCTGTTAGTGTTGGGGGGCGGGGGGGAAAGTCTTCTAGCAGTTGCTTTCAAGCCCTGTCTTTAAGAATGGAGCTGGGTGGGGCTTGTGTTTCTTGGGCAGAGGACAGTAGCAGGGTGAGTATCTGATTCTTTCTGCTTGTTAGCCTTCTTCCCAAAATATGTGTTTTCCAAAATGCTGTAGACATGCAATCGCTGCTTTACAGTTCAGAACTATTGAACTACTACTTGATTTTAGTTGCCTCTGTATGACTACTAAGTTGCAAGACTTCAGTGGATGAAGTTTAAATATATTGCAGATCTGTCAGAAAGGATCTTGAGATGTTGCATGAAGGAAACACTGACTTTTTTTTAAATCTTAATTTAAGGGAGATCATAGCTACCTAAAAAAAATCGTTATCCCCAAGAGTGTTAGTTCATAACACAGTACAATAACTAACTTGATAGGCTGAGTAAGATTGTCTTGTCATATTAAAGGGACTTGAACTTCTTGAAATTCTAAGTAGTGGATGCATTTCAAAACTTAAATCCAGGTAACTCATACAAGCTATCTGCTGCAATTATTTGGCTTTACTTAATACTTACTTTTAAGAAAGGATGTTTTTGTTGATAGTATGACTTCGCTGTGTGAGACTAGTTTATCTTAATTTTTTCTGCTGATCTGAATGACACATTGAAAATACCTATATGAGCTGGATTAGAGTATTCACTAGGTTAGTGGAATTAATGCACCTGAAAGCTTGAATACATTGAATGCAAACACACAGTCTTTTTAAATCTGTTCTAAAAGATTTTTGTAACTGGAAAAGAAATTAAAAGGAACATACTTCATTTTTATGTAGTATTCATAAGTCTATTGCAACTGAAAGTTGTCAGTAGAAAAAAGTTTACTTAGCCTGTTTTTTCTAAAAAGGCGTGTTTGCCTTAAGTGTGAAACCATACTGTTTGTATAAGATCTTGTACTGAAATACAGAGGGTAATACAGTAAAAAACTTTTGAAACGCCAAATAGTTATTGCAGCAGCTGAAATGACAACTGTCAAGTTGTTTCTTGGTTTATTTTCTGAGCAAAAAATGTTAAAGCATTTGGTTTGCATGTAATCATAGGTATATCTTACAGGTCAGGAATGTGAATCATAGAATCACTTAGGTTGGAAAAGACCTTTTAAGATCCAAGTCCAACTGTCAACCTAGCACTGCCAAGTGCACCACTAAACCATGTCCCTAAGCACTGTGGCACTATTGGCAGCCTATGCCAATGATTGACAAACCTTTCGGAGAAGAAATTTTTCCCAATATCCAATCTAAACCTCCCCTGCTGCAACCTGAGGCCCTTTCCTCTTGTCCTGTTCTTTCTTGACAGAAGAGATCAATCCCCACCTCCCTACAACCTCCTTTCAGGCAGTTGTAGAGGGCGATAAGGTCTCCCCTCAGCCTCCTCTTCTCCAGACCAAACAACCCCAGTTCCCTCAGCCTCTCCTCAGAAGACTTGTGCTTCAGACCTCTCACCAGCTTTGTTGCCCTCCTCTGGACACACTCCAGCACCTCAATGTCCTTCTGGTAGCGAGGGGCCCAAAACTGGACACGGTATTCAAGGTGTGGCCTCATCAGTGCGGAATACAGGGGCACAATCACTTCCCTGGTCCTGCTGGTCACACTATTCCTGATACAAGCTAGGATGCTGTTGGCCGCATTGGCCGCCTGGGCACACTGCTAGCTCATACTCAGCCAGCTGATGACCAATACCCCCAGGTCCTTTTCTGCCAGGCATTTTTATTACCCTGAATTTCTTTCCAGCTATTCTTCCCCAAGCCTGTAGTGTTGCATGGGGTTGTTGTGACCCAAATGTAGGACCCGGCACTTGGCCTTGCTGAACCTCATACAGTTGGCCTTGGCCCATCGATCCAGCCTGTCTGGATCCCTCTGTAGAGCCTTCCTACCCTCGAGCAGTTCAACATTCTTGCCCAACTTGGTGTGGTCTGCAAACTTACTAAGGGTGCACTTGATCCGCTCGTCCAGACCATTGGTAAAGATACTAAACAGAACTGGCCCCAATACTGAGCCCTGGGGAACACTGCTGGTGATCGGCTGCCAACTGGATTTAATTCCATTCACCACAACTCTTTGGCCCCAGCCATCCAGACAGTTTTTAACCCACCAAATAGTACGCCTGTCCAAACCATGAGCAGCCAGTTTCTCTAGGGGAGTGCTGTGGGAAGCAATGTCAAAGGCTTTACTGAAGTCTAGGTAGACAATGTCCATGGCCTTTCCGTCATCCACTAAATGGGTCACCTTGTCATAGAAGGAGATTAGGTTAGTCAAGCAGGACCTGCCTTTCATAAA